CAAAGCACTCTGCCTTCCTCCCAGGCTCATCCCATCTGCAAAGCGAGGGAGAGATGGAGCTCGCAGGAGAGAGAGAGAGAGAGAGAGAGAGAGATAGAGAGAGAGAGAGGATGAGGCAAAAGACAGTAAAGGAGGAGGAGAAACATTGTTTCGATAATGCAGATTGTCATAAGAGAGCTGCATTCCTGGTAATCCAATAGAAGTGAAGTAAAAGCTTCTGTCATTTCAACAGACTTAATGAAAGCAATTTGATTAGGTGGCCCTGCATCTGCACAGCTTCCTTCAGACTCATTGTTTCGGATTTGTGCCGGCCTGTCTCACTCTCAAATTAACTTGCCTTTAAATGCATTTAATGTTTGGAATGAATACTTACACGATTCCTGCTTGGAGCGGTTCGGTGGAGGGGAGCCATTCAATTGAAACTGCTATTCTTTGAGTGAAGTGAAGCTCAACTGTTACAGAATGGTGCTAGCAACATCAAGGTCATGGGTTCGATTCTCTGGGGGAAATGTTTACCTATGTAGCTTTGCCTAATGTTGACAAAGAAAATGTGACATCAGTAACCTTAAGATCTTAAAACGGGGGGTATTCAACATTTTTCGGGCAAATGAACTATTGATGGATAAAGAGACGGAGCAGAGACCTGGTACATATTGTTTTCAAAATAAAAACTGTTACATTTTATATCTGGCCAAAAAAAAGTGTATAGTACCACAATTATATAAGGCCGTAACATAAAAATGCTTTCATCACTAATATCTGGAACTTTGAATAAGCCCACGTTTACATTATACAAGTTAATATTATATAAATGAGCCTATATAAAATAAAGAGCTAAAATAAATAAATAAATATAACTCAAATAAAATAAGGCCTTTAAAAACTGTAACAGAATTTTAAAAAAAAAATGTTTTAAACAAATTTATCAAGAGATATCCTTCAATTGGAAAAGCTGACCAAAAGATTTTAAAGATACAGGTTTTAGCATAATAACTACTCTCTGTTGTCATTCATGCTAAGTGTCTTGTTGCCGATATATAATTTAGCACTTTAAACCATGCACACATCTTGCACCGGATATATAATACGAACATATACAAATATATGGTAAAATGAAAATGAAACACTGTAAAAAACTGTCAAATAAATCAGAAAAAAAACTGGTTATGGTTTTTAAAATATTCCCTTTCATGCAGTGTGTAATATAGCTGTTTATGAATGTAAACGTTCTGCAAAGTTGTAAAGTTGAAAGTGCACGATAAATAAAGTTATTGTCTCCCAAAAGAAAGAATCGACTCTGAACTGCCAATACAAGTCGTTTTTCATTCGAATCCGACTGAATTACGGTTATACGTCACTAGAAGATTCATTTGCATAACGGCCGCCTATGTTGTACGTTGTCCACTCGCAGACGGACGAGAGCATTTGCCAAGAATGTTTTCATTAATCAAGAACGAAAGTCGGAGGTTCGAAGACGATCAGATACCGTCGTAGTTCCGACTGTAAACGATGCCGACCCGCAAACCGGCGGCGTTATTCCCATGACCCGCCGGGCAGCGTGCGGGAAACCACGAGTCTTTGGGTTCCGGGGGGAGTATGGTTGCAAAGCTGAAACTTAAAGGAATTGACAGAAGGGCACCACCAGGAGTGGAGCCTGCGGCTTAATTTGACTCAACACGGGAAAGCTCACCCGGCCCGGACACGGAGAGGATTGACAGATTGATAGCTCTTTCTCGATTCTGTGGGTGATGGTGCATGGCCGTTCTTAGTTGGTGGAGCAATTTTGTCTGGTTCATTCCGATAATGAACGAGACTCCTGCATGCTAACTAGTTACGCGGCCCCGAGAGGTCGGCGTCCAACTTCTTAGAGGGCGTTCAGCCACACGAGATGGAGCAATAACAGGTCTGTGATGCCCTTAGATGTCCGGGGCTGCACGCGCGCCAAAATGGGCGGATCAGCGTGTGCCTACCCTGCGCCGAGAGGCGCGGGTAACCCGCTAAACCCCGCTCGTGAACGGGACTGGGGATTGAAACTGTTTCCCATCAACGAGGAATTCCCAGTAAGCGCGGGTCATAAGCTCGCGTTGATTAAATCCCTGCCCTTTGTACACACCGCCCGTCGCTACTACCAATTGGGTGGTTTAGTGAGGTCCTTGGATGGGCCCCGCCGGAGCTCCTCGCTGGGTTCTGGCGGAGCGTCGAGAAGACGATCAAACTTGACCATCTGGAGATAGTAAAAGTCGTAACAATAACTTTACCCACACCCAACTTGACCAGCCCTCAAATGTCATTTTACTGACGACAGCTCCTCAAAGTTCAACGTGGGATTCGCAAACCGCTTGCTCTAGAAAGATGGGTCAGTACCCGTTTATTTGGAACAGCTTGCTCCTCAGAATCACAACCTGTAAGCATGAATAATTATTGAGGTATATATTTTCTACCGGGTGTTCAAAACACTTTAGTCTTTTATATTGTGTAAGTTTCCAGCTAACCTGCTAACTCACGTTATTACTGTCTTACTGAAATACTTCTGCTTATCAGTTGTGGGCCACTATTACCTAAAACTGTCTATTAACGCAGATTGTCTGTTGTTCTTACTACTTTGAGTAAAGATGAAGGATGGAGCAAGATTTGTTTTACAAACGTTTGTTACATCAGTCATTCACGTTAGTGCTGGGTAAACATATGATCCGTTATTGATACAGTTATTGGTAGTTCCCGCATGTTCACCACAATAAATTTGAAAAAATACACATCGGTTTGTTGATGGACTGAGAACTGAGAAACGTCCTGGGGTGCGTTTCCCAAAAGCATCGTTGGCCAACTATGATCGCAATTTCCATTGAACTCTATTGGTAACGGTGGAACTTGCGACCATGGCTGGCTTTGGGAAACACACCCCTGCTCGAGTCGTCCTTGCGATGGAGGTTCGGGTTGAATAACTAGTTCTTCCAATGTTTCATCATCGGACTCACGCTCAGATTGATATGGCAAAATCGACGGCATCGTTACTGTCTTTAAAGTGTGTACAATTGCCTCTGGACAGAGCTGAGTTTCAGTTATGGTAATGGGAATGTACCTTCCACGTGGTAGACCAATTACAACAGACTGGGCCATCTGGCCAATCAGAGCAGGCTCTCGGAAAGGAGGGATTTAGAGAGACTGATTCATCCATCGAGTCGTTTGAGAATCATTGAAAAATGTGGTGATGTGCAATGTATATTATGAGAAAATTAAACAGTTTTTTTACTTTTGATGCACGTAAACCTGTTATAGGAGACTCCAACACAACATTATAAGCCTTTAAAATAGCATAATAAGGGCACCACGTTATTCCATTCTCCACTTTGCCTTCCTTGAGTTGCAATGTTAATCAGAAACAAAGCAATTATCCCCAATTCAACAACAGCAACACAACTCCTAATCAGTCTCTCCAACATGAGAGATTGAAACACGACTACGAAAAAAACAAAGTCATGGTTTACACGTCTCATATTGTACAAGCCGATGCATTTGTCATCATTACCTTCCAAGTGAGACTGATGGTAGTGCAACGCAAGTAAATGTAAACCAATTAATAACAGCAGAAATTGCATTAAACCATCGTGTCCTAAAGAGAAAACCACTAGAATTGCTCTAAAATGAACCGTTAACTACTTGAAGAATCTCTGTGGCAGAATTTTTTTTATATATATGCACGAGAACTGTGCAGAGTAGCCCTACAAATCTTGTTTACGTTCAAACTAATATGATCGACAGTTAAGTAATAATTTGCGGATTACGGCAAGTGCATGTTTTTGATATTATCAGCAGATTTAAACATCTAGTGGATTGTCCAGCCGTCAGAGGCTGATGAATGACCACTCATTAGAATTGCAAAGGCTGTCAGCTGCCGCAGCGGAGCGTGGTTCCAGACGGGGTTTGACAGGGCCACCAGACTCCATCGGGGTAATTAATTTGCCACATTCTAAAGGACGTAGGGTGTACTTCTCGAAATTAGGCCGGTAAGAGAAGTGGCAAAGGGTCATCATCAATTGATTATCATGACGACTGAGATGGAGGCGACATGGCTCTTTAATGATTAATGCTTTTGTTTGTGTGCTTTCAGAGAAACCCGTCCCATGCTAATCAAGTCCAGATAAGTTTGGCTTAAACCAAGTTTGACAAGCTGCAAAGCAATGCCAGCACATGTATTGTGGTAGCAGAGAACCTAATATGCTGTCTTGTACTATATATCAGTGATGGTCAGTGTTGGGGTAATGCATTACAAGTAGTCCAATTATGTAGTCCGATTACTTTTTTGATGTAACAAGTAAATTAACTCATTACTTTATACATTTACACATTCAGATTTTAGGTAAGAAAAGTAATGCACATTACTTTTCAGTTTAATTAATTTGGTTAAACATTTTGAAAATACTCGCTCTTCTCCATAATGTAGACACTCGTAGTCCTGATGTACTCATTCGTGCAAATTGTGCAAATCACATTACTTTCCACTTTCAATAGAACATGTTTTGTACAGTAGGTACAATTTTTTTGTATGGCATCCATAGCTCTAGGGTCAGGAAATGTGTTCAGAATATGATAATATTCTAAATGTGTTTTTAAAAGAAAAATGACAGTGTATGTTATATAGACTGTGTTGTTGAATGCATTACTGTGTTGAACACTTGCAAAAAATAACTTATCAGTAAAAAATAAACAAACATTACTTTCCATAAAAAGTAATGTTCCCCATTTCCCCCAAGATTTCAAGATATAGCTTGAATCATTAAACATTATTAGAGCTCAATAACGTATCAAACTACAAAAGTCGCACTGTAAAGGCAGAACTTGAACTGTAATTAACTAAATGAATTGCTACAGTACTGTGTGCTAATGAGTGTTCTCCTTGGGGAGCATTTCTGTTATTGGTGCTGAGTGGGTGGTACAGGCTAATTCCCAGAACAAGATGATACTCTTAGACAAAAACAAGGCTGGTACAGAGGCACAAAATCACTAAACGGGTCTTACACAACCACATTGTTCCTTTCTGGATTCACCTTTCAAGCTGACATGAGAGAGCTGCTTGCTATTTTGGTTTGACGTCTTTCTCAAGAGAAGTTGACTGATTTGAGGTGCTCCTATAAAGAATATGGAAAACCTTACGGTGAGTTTCAGATGGTTAGATTTAAAATAATCAATTATTAAATGCAATTAAATTAAATGCAATAAGCTCCGAAAGTGAAATTTTTATCACAAATAAAGGGTGTTTGTAGGCACATCACAAAGTGGAGGGCCTAAAAGTCGTAAAATCACTCTAACTGTGATGGATTTGTGTGGCTTATTGGTTTTAACTGTGGCAATATAGTAAAATATAGCAATGTTTAATAACAGTTACATTTTGAAATCATTCTGAAAGTAGTTTATAAACAACTTTGCCGAGTAGTTCATTAGAAGAACTGTAGGCCATTTATGGTTTCCAAGCCGCATAGAAACTTGACACATTCAAGGGATATTTTACCTAAAAATGAAAATTCTGTCATAATTTACTTACCCTCAAGTTGTTCCAAACCTTCTGTTGAACACAAAAGATGATATTTCGACGAATATGGTTAAGCAAACGGTTGATGGGCCCCATTGACTTCCATAGTATAAAAAAAAAATACTATGGAAGTCAATCTGGACTAGAAAATGTTTGGTTACCAACATTCTTCAAAATGTCGTCTTTTGTGTTCACCCGAAAAAATTATCTCATCCCGATTTAGAAGACCTTGAGGGCGAGTAAATGATGACAGAACTTTCATTTTTGCTTAATATTGTGGAAGCTGAGACATTTTTCTTTTCAGAATTAATTAACAGATCTTATTGTTGTAACATTTTAAATGTCTTTATTGTCACTTTAGATCAGTTTGATGCATTCTTGTTGAATAAAAGTATTAATTTCTTAGGGGAAAAAAATCTGACCCCAAACTTTTTAACGGCATTGTAAGTTATAATGGTGAAAACACACAAAAAAAGTCACCAGTATCATTAACATGAGAGTAATACATCTAAATATCAGATATTACGTTTTTTGGTTTGCTTCTTGAGGTTTCACCCTCTAATGATGGTTTGGTGGGTGTTTTTAACATCTCCTGTGTCCCGTTTCTTTGAGCAGTCAGACAATTGGCGGGAGATTGTGAACAAAAAGCTTCACTTTCCACCAGAGCTGATCCCTGCTATCCAAGAGGGCAACATGGCCTGGGTGGACAGTCTCCTCTCCCTTGGTGATGGGATCATCCGTCAACTGGAAGAGTCTGAGGATCGGTTATGGAGGGAAGCATTGAACCTCTCCATCCGACTGGGCGGCGAAGACATCATGACTTCCCTTCTTTTGGGCGTCAAGTTTGACTTCCGTCAGATCCATGAAGCTTTACTGGTGGCTGTCGACACCAACCAGCCACGATTCGTCAAACACCTCCTGGACCGCCTGGATCAGGAAAAAGGCAATAAGATGGACGTTCGTTCCTTTAGCATGGCCATCTTCGACCACTCCATCGACGATTCTCAGTTCGCACCGGGAGTGACGCCACTAACGCTGGCCTGCCAGAAGGACCTGTATGAGATCGTATCTATGCTGACCCAGAGAGGCCATGATATTCCCATGCCTCACTCAATCTCGTGCGCGTGCTTGGAGTGCCGTAACGGACGACAATACGACTTGCTCAAGTTCTCGCTGTCCCGTATAAATACGTACAGAGGCATTGCCAGCCGCGCATATTTGTCGATCACCTCGGAAGACGCCATGCTCAGCGCTTTCCACCACAGCCGAGAACTGCGCAAACTGTCCAAGAAAGAACCAGAATTTAAGGTGAGCTCAGCAAAAAAAAAATGGTCATTCATTTTCTGAAAATATCACAAATAACAAATTCAAAAGACAAATCGTCAGAGTCAAAGTGCTTCCCAGACACCAACATAGTGTCGGCCAAGATACGGCCCACATCTGGTACACGTGGATTCCACACGGCCCAGATGTGGGCCGGATCTGGGCCAACACTATGTTGCTGTCTGGGCTGTTTTCAATGAACCAATCTGCTACCTATAACTGACTTCTTATTTTTACATGCATGTCCTTTCGCATATTATGCTTCATAACTTGTTAACATACACTATAAAGTAATGTAAATGATTTAATGGTGTTATTTCATCAGGTAAAAACACATTTTAAGCAAAAAAACCGCCAGATAAACCTTTGTGAGCATGTCTGTTTGTGCTTTGAAATCATGCCAGAGAAAAGTCCATTTCAAATCTCTTGCACACTTGAATTGATTTTTTGCATTTCTTTCTCAAAACTCTTTATTGATGTTTAGCCTCAGTACCTGGCTTTGGAACAGCTGTGTCAGGAGTTTGCTGTGGAGCTTCTGGGAATGTGCCGGAACCAGAGCGAGGTCTCCACCATCCTCAACAGTGCCGAGGGGGACAGCGAGGATGAAGAACTAGGCCTAGACGAACAGACATTTGAGGAAGGCATCCCCAACCTCGCACGTCTTCGCCAGGCGGTCAACTACAATCAAAAACAGGTAAATCCTCTTGGTTTAATTGCAGCAGATAACTGAAAAAAGTGATATAAACAACAATCTAAAAACCTACATTGAATGTGCAGTAAGAGAGTTCTGAGAAACACTGTAGATATTTAAATTCAACCCAAAGAAACACACCCTTCCCTTCATTACTCCGCCCACAAAATGCCTGAACACGCAATGCAAGAGTGGATGTCTCCTTATCATAGCGGAAGCAGAGCAAAATAATGCTTCGCAAAAAATTAACATACATGTAACCGGTCCTACTCGACCCACTCCGAGCGGGATTCTAACAGGTGTCTCTGGCATGGGAGGTGGGCATGCTAACAAGGACGCTAAAGACTGCAGTCTCTATCATCAGTCGCTAGCATGCCTCTTTAGGCCAGGGGAGTGAGGTTTACTCGCCAAGCTCTTACTGGTTGGCCTCCGTTACATACAGTAGCTACACATGAGTATACAAGCAAGAGTTGGTTGTTAGTCGCCAGCAGTATAGCATCCAGACAATAGTAACAGACTGTCCTGTAGCTAACATTACAACAACAGCATATCTTGGTTCTTCTGAGAAACAAAAACAATGTTTTACACATTTAAATATGTTTAAAAATGATCTAGTTTTTATTTTTTTCATTTGCATTTTAGTTTTAGCACATCAAGTTAAAGTTGGCATAAAATGTAAGTTAAGATAGTCTTTTCTTCCCTATTGTGACATATATCAGAGTCAAACGGCTTTTTGAACAAGAAAAAACGTACGGCGAGACTTGATTTTGTCCAAGGGCAATTGATTGGATGCTTGTGGTTTGCTATTGGTCGATGTTTTTCAAGCAATCAAGTAATGACAATTATTTTTTTATGGTTTTAGTAAACTATAATAACCCTGGTTAAGGTAACACACTGCCCACACAGACTGATCTATTTGAGGAGAAACACAGGGCATGTGAACCTCATCTTTCAAAAGCTCACAGTCGTTTGACCCCTGCGTCGATGCCGTATGGGATGCCTGATTGATTGACAGTTGGCTGGGAGGCCTGACTGTTTGTTTCCCTCGTCTAGTTTGTGACTCATCCCATCTGCCAGCAAGTGCTCTCCTCCATTTGGTGCGGGAGCCTGTCTGGTTGGAGGGGAAGTCGAACTGCTTGGAAACTGCTGGTGTCTTTGGCCATTTTCATTACCATGCCGGTTCTGTGCCTTGTCTACTGGATCGCCCCAAAGTCCAAGGTAAATTTGAGTCCGTGGTGATAATAGTTCAATAACATCATAATAATCAAGAAATCAAATGCCACGGCTGATGTAAACAGCATTCATACAGGTTTCAATTATATATTTGTGTTCTACCAGCTGGGTAAATTGCTAAAGGTTCCCGTGATTAAGTTCCTGTTACACTCTTCATCATACATGTGGTTCCTCATCACTCTTTTGACGGAGTCTATTTTCATGGAGATCTACCGTACGGATTTCGCCTCCCGGAAGCAGAACATTCTCCATACCTCTCTTCACATGATATGGGTTGCAGGTAGGCCATGTTGCCAAATAAAAATCCATTAAAAAAAAAATCATTTAAAAGTCACTTAAATCTCTGAGTCTAATCAATAATTGTCTTAGAGATGGTCATATAGAATAAGGCATTAACACGTGATTTAGAAGTACTAATAAACAGTGTGTGTGTGTGTGTGTGTGTGTGTCTGTGTGTGTGTGTGTGTGTGGATGGATGGATGGATGGATGTGTGTGAGAGAGAGAATGATTATTATCTAAAAGGACGTTTTCATGTTCTATATTGGTAGGTTTCTTCTGGTTTGAGTGTAAGGAAGTTTGGCTCGAGGGTTTGAAAAGTTACTTCTTGGATTTATGGAACATTCTGGATATGATGGTGCTGAGCATGTATCTGGCATCCTTCACACTGCGCATTCTCATCGTGCTAAAGGGACATTTCCTCTGTCAGGACTCCAGCACACAAGAGCTGTGTGACTATTTCACCAACACAGGTGACATCTCACAATTGTTTTTATCTTACACAATCTTACTGCTACTGAATTAATATATAATAATGTGTATTACTAAAAGTAATATATAATGATAATAATGTCGAATTCTATTAAAATAAAAATAATTATTGTAATTTAATTTAAATAAATAGTATTATTGCTAATTATTATTACAATAACAAGTATTATTAATAGTAGTAGTCATAATAATAATTCTTACAATAATAATTATTGTAATCAAATATAAATAATAAATGACTTGTTATTGTAATAATAATAACAATAATGTTATTAGTAGTAGTTATAGTAGTAGTAGTATAATTGTCATAATTTTAGCATTATTTATTTGTATTCAAAAACATTATTATTATATATTTAAAAATACATTTAAAATAATAATAATATTTATGTATTTAAAATGAAAATAATAATAATAATAATGTAAAAAAAGTTCATTTAAAATACGACTATTATTATTATTATTATTATTATAGCAGCATATTTTGATGATGTTTCTGAACAGCACGAGAGGACTGGAAACAGGAGGATCCTCAGCTGATTGCAGAGACTCTCTTTGCCGTGACCAGCATGTTGAGTTTCACACGTCTCGCCTACATTCTGCCGGCCCATGAATCCCTGGGAACCCTGCAGATATCCATGGGAAGAATGATCGATGACATGATGAGGTCAGATCTCGGGGTTTGATCTGCTTACAAGAGGAGAGTGGCTTTCATCAAATGTTTTTCTTCCTCTACAGGTTCATGTTCATCCTCATGATTATAGGAACAGCATTTTTGTGCGGAATAAACAACATATACGTCCCATACGTCGTTTCTGCACATCTCGGCAGGTGATTAATAACTTGTTTGCGTGCAATTTCACGTGTTTGGTTGGAGATGAATTATAAATGCGTTTGTCTCTTGTATTCCTTTTAAGATTTAATGAGACCTTTAACTTCCTCTTCTGGACCATGTTTGGAATGGCAAACCAAGAATATGTAGACATGCATGATTACGCTCTGGCTGAGTTTGTAGGAAGGATCTTCTACGGGATATTCACACTGCTCATCGTAATAGTGCTCCTGAACATGCTTATTGCCATGATCTCAAACTCATTTCAGAGGATTGAGGTGAGCACGTACAGTATGAAGAATGATTTTAAATGATTTGGTAGGAAACACTGTAGTTTTAGAACCTTAAAAATTGAAAATTGCATTTATTTACAGTTCATGTCGTTTCAAACCTGCATTCCCGCGGAAAACAAAAGACGACCAAAATTCTGACCCGGAATTCTTCTTATTATTTTTTTTAATTGAGTGTTCATCGGGAGGGGTCCAAGTCCCCATGCCCTTTTTTTGAACTTGAACCAGGAATACACACACACACAAAAAATGCAACTGGTTCGAATTTAAAAAAAGTTACAAATCCTTCCCTCGTGGGTCAAATTGACCCCCATGCTTCAGTACTTAAACCTCAAAATTCAAACTAAAAAAGGCTAAAACTTTACCAAAAAATTTTTTTTATAATGTCTACATGTGTATCTGAATGCATACTGAAGAGAAATGACTTTAGGACCCGGAGGAACAGCTCATTTGATCCAAATAAGGACAGCTAGTGGCTAGAGTCATGAAATATCATTTATATTATTTTTTCCCCACAATAGGTTGGCAAAGACACCCAATGTACGATATGTTTAGCTGAATTAAAAGGTTTAGGCATGAAATTAGTTAGTAATTTAAGCACATTGCTCACTATTTATTGATTATTTATTGATTTAATCTAGTCGTTTAAAGGATAAAAAAAAAAAAAAAAAAATTGCATTAAAAAACAGAAAAAAATATCATCAAAATGAAATGAAATAAGCTTTCTGAAAAAAAAAAAAAAAAAAAAGAGCTTCGGGTCATTTTGACCCGCGAGGGAAGGATTCGTTACAAAACGCGAAGGAAAGATGAGGATGAGAATATTAACATATCTTTTGTTCAAAACGTCTCTTCCTCACAGGATTGTGCAGATGTCGAGTGGAAGTTTGCTCGCTCTAAACTCTACCTCAGCTACTTTAGGGAGGGTCTAACTATGCCAGCTCCCTTTAATATCATCCCATCTCCAAAGGCTCTCTTTTATGTCTTAAGGTGAGAAAACTTAAGCAATGTCAAACCTTGTATAGTGACTGCATATCATCGCAGAGTATGTGCACTTCTATGAGGTTCTTCACCTTTAGGACCAGATGTAACCTTCATGTTCCTCGCTGTTTTGTGTAGAAGCATCTTCCAAAAGATTTGCTGTTGCTGTAAGAAGAAAGCCCCAGAATATCCTCCCATCACAACTTTGGTGAGTATCCGAGGGGGTTTTAAAACTAGATCCTTGGTTAAATTTGGCTGATGAGGTGTTTTTCATACTTATTTTGTAGTCTAGCAATACCCTGAATAACAGCAGAGGTCAAGGTGAGGGCAGAGTGCCATACCGCCTGCAGGTCACCAAGGCTCTGGTGCACCGCTATATTGAAGCCGCACGCAGAGAGTTTGAAGAGAGCAAGCGTAAAGGTAGGTCATATCTTCGGCATCTCTGGGTAATAATCCAAAAGCATGCAGTATTTCAGGAAAGAAGAAGAAGAAAAGCCACAAGAGTGACACATACAGCAATTACCTGTTCAGGGTGCTGTGGCCTAGTGGTCAAAGATATGTTCTAGTAACCACAAGGTTGTGGGTTCAAACCCCAGAAGTGGAAAGACTTCACCACAAGTTTCTCCAGAGGAACTGTCTCTGTAATTACAAAATGGATAAAAGTGTCTGATTATTTAATACTTACAGTTAGGCTACTTCTGATCATCTGGATCAACACTTGGAATGCATACAGTATACAGTAAACACTCTGTAGTGGATACTAGAGCCAGGGTAGGGGAAGTAGGGGTAAACGCATTTGTTTTATCAAGAAAAATAATACATTTTAAATCAGTAAACCTTCGGTAAGGAATTTAATTATAAAGTGTAAGTGGGCTACAAGTGTTGTAAGTATGTTTTCATTTTACGCTGTTTACTTTCTTGAAACTGGAATAGTCTCTATTACTCTTTTGATTGACGCACACCAGGGTCTGAAATTAACAGGGGCTAAAATGCTAACAAAATGACAAAAATGCCTCCAAAACTCAAGTTATGTGGGGAAAAATAAACCTCAATGAGGTGGGTTTTTTTTGTATTTATAACTATAAGCAATATTACACAAACAAGAGTGCACTGTAAAAACGTATCTAATCAATAAGTTATGACAACATGTTTTTATAATGCTTTAACACATCAAAATAAGTTTCACAAGACATTTTAGGTCAGTTTAATGTAAGTTAAGTTGAAATAACTTAACCAAGGTGAGTTTACTTAAAAATGTAAGGCAGCAACTTTTTTTTTATACTGGAGTTTTCCCCCCGAACAGCATATAGCAAATGTGAAATTGATTTTATAGAACATATCAAACAAAAAGTTAATATTAAGTAACGTACAGTAAATACAAAAATGCGTTTTTGTCAAACCTATCTGTTTTTGCTCCTTCAAAGAGAATAGTTCCAAACAAAGCCACATCAGAAATGTTTCACGTCTGTAAGCAACATGTTTAGTTCTCGAATGAATCAACGTTTCTGAACCATTTGATCTGAATGAATGATTTAATGGTGGGTCTATAAGGTAGGCACAATAGTTTGAGCTGCATGATTAAGAGTTACAGGGTTAGTTCACCCAAAACAAATAAATTCTGTCATTAGTTACTCACCCTCATGTCGTTCCAAACCCGGAAGACTTTTGTTCATCTTCAGAACACAAATGACGATCTTTTCGATGAAATCTGAGATTTCTGTCCCTCCATTGACCATCTACTCAACTACCACTCTGCCGCTTCAAAACAGTTCATGAAGAGATCATAAAACTAATCCATATGAATTGAGCGGTTTTGTCCAAACTTTTCTGAAGAGACACGATCGCTTTATATGATGAAAAGACTTAATTTAGGCTTTTATTCACATAAGTTAACACACAATAAGTGACCGTAAAGACATTTGTAATGATGTAGATTTCAAAAGATTTATATATCAAATAAACTGTTCTTTTGAAAATTCTATTCTTCAAAGAATCCTGAAAAAAAAATGATTGCTTTTCCATTATATGTGTAAATTACATTTTAAATATAGGCCTATACTAAAATGATGGAAGCTTGTTTCCACTATGGAATAAATAAAAAAAAAACGTTTTTTGCAATATTGACTTTTGTTCCTCGCAATTGCAAGTTTATATCTTACAATTCAGAGAATAAAAGTCTGAATGGCGGGATAAAAATTTTTTTTTTTTGCAATTGAAAGGGGGGAAAAATGTGAATTGTGCGATGGTTCCTTTATTAATTTTACTCTGTGGCAGAAACAAGTTATTTTAATTCGTAAAAATATTTTACAACTAGGGCTGTCAAACGATTAATCGCGATTAATCGCATCCAAAATAAAAGTTTGTGTTTACATAATATGTTTGTGTGTACTGTGTATAATTATTTTTAATACATAAATACCCACACATGCATGTGTATTTAAGAAATATTTGCATGTATATACTGAATGTAGCCTATAATGTATATATTTTATATAAATATAAACATTTTATATATAAATAACTTATTTTTCTTAAATGTATACATGTGTGCATTTATATACAAAATAATTATACACAGTACACACACGTCATATATTATGTAAACAAACTTTTATTTTGGATGCGATTAATCGTGATTAATCGTTTGACAGCCCCATTTACAACATTACTATTTTACTGTATTTTTGGTCAAGTACATGCAGCCATGCATAGGAGATTTGTTTAAAAAAAGAATGCTAGTGTATCTCGGAAATAAGTGGTTATTTCATATTTTGAATCAAATTTTGTGTAAACCCCCCCCCAAAAAAAACCTCTCAAACCTTCCAGTCTAATGAAATGAGGCAAGAAAGAGTAGAGGAAAAACACTTTGGCAACACTTTGTAGTTTATCATCCAGGAGTTTCATGCATATAAAATGCATATTATTCATGCAGCAAGTACATGTAGAATGCTATTATGAACCTTGCCATTGTCTTTGCTTCTAATTCCTGTTGTTGTGATGCTCAGATGTGGGGAACAGAATCACCGAGCTGAATAAAGTTGTGGGCCGGCTGCACACCGAGATGAAGGACTTCCACCAGAAGCTGCAGTGGCGGCACAAAAGCCAGCCAGACCAGGCCAACATTCTGGGCAAATACATCATGGGGGCAAGAAACAATTTCCGTGACTTTGATAAGAATGAGGCCATGGGGTGTGAAAATACAGGTCTGCACATCAGTATGCAGCTCACAGAGGAAGAGGAGGAGAAGAAAGGAGAGATCGTCTCAGAGGAGAGGGAGGAGCCCGACTCCGAGGGCCCCGCGGAGCCCGTCCCAGGAGAAGAAACTGCTAGCACTCCTGATGTATGAGAACATGACAAACACTGGGGTGTCGCAGTGCACTGCCGTTCCCGGACAAAATATCTAGTAAGAAGTTTCTAGATACATTCAAAACACTTTGAATTACTGATCAAATTTGACATACTGTAGTCAGGTTTAATATGTAATTGTATCGTAACTGATATTTGAATTAAAACGCCTAGACGGATAAATCTTTTTTAATAAGATTAACGAGGTTTAGATGATGGCAAACATGTATGATAGATAAAAACATTTGCTGAGTGCTCTTGTTTTCTTATGGACATTTTCACAATGAATGTGAAATATAGGAACCTTATATGAAAATAACCAAAAATGAATACAACTTATTTTCACAAAATAATAACAAATACTATTTTCATGTTGATAGACTACTTCATGTGTTATATTAGGGTTATCAATGAAAAAAAAAAGCACTTACCACGAAAAAGATACAAATTAAGGTTTTTGAAAGAAGTCTCTTCTACTCACCAAGGCTGCATTTATTTGATCAAAAATACAGTAACATTGTTAAATATGTATGTAAAATGTAATTTATTCCTGTGATCAAAGCTGAATTTCACATGATCCTTCAGAAATCATTCTAACATGATGATTTGATGCACAAGAAACATTCCTGATTATCAATGTTGAAAACGGTTCATATTTTTGTGGAAACAATGCTTTGATCAATAGAAAGTTTAAAAGAACATTTATTTGAAATTAAAATATTTTTTAACTTTTGTAATTAATTTACTATTTGATCAATTTAATGCATCCTTGATGAATAATAGAATACAGAAAAGATCTTGCTGACCCCAAACTTTTTAACTGTAGTGTACTTCAGAACAAAGTAAAACCTAATATTACCTAAAATTACATAAAATGTCCTTAAATTATGTTTGTTCCAATTCAAAGTTAATAGTTAAAAAAAAGTGATGACTTTTCACAATAAGGTCCCATCCGTAAATATCAATGCATTAACTAACAGCGAGCAATATTCTTGCAGCATTTATAAACCTTTGTGAATGTTAGTTTAAAAAATAATAATAATAATAATAATAATAATAATAATTCTTCATTATGTTAACTAGTTCAAGTTATGACGTTCATGGTGCATTAACTAAATGTTACCAGATACAACTTTTGATTTTAAATGTTGAAATGAATATTTACTAAGATTAAGAAATTCTGTAGAAATATTGGTCCTTGTTAGTTCAGGTTTACTAGTGTAGTTCACTAATGAAACCATAGAGCAAAGTGTAACCATTTTTATTTGTTTTTGCTTTTGGAGAATATAACAACAGTGTGAAAAGCCACAGTTGGTAATACAAAATATTAGAATGAAAAAAGCAGTAACACTTTACAATAAGGTCTCATTTGTTAACATTAATTAATGTATTAACTAACCACGAGCAATACATTTGTTACTGTAGCTTATTTGTTAATAGTAGTTAAATTACAGCTGTTCATTGTTTGTTCATGTTGGTTCACAATGCATTAATGTTAACAAACACAACTTTTGATTTGAATAATGTATTGGTAAATGGTGAAA